CACTCTGCATTTTTAACTGAATAAGAAAACTATAAGAGGCAATAGTGCGGCAACGTTGTATTTAGTTTCTTCGAATTTGTAGATGTCGCCTTTTAGCTTCTAAATGTCATTATTGAGTTCGCCATCTATTTGGTTTTGGTCTATGCCTGGGTCAAAATAGTTTTGAGGGAAGTAAAGTAAATTTGATGCAAGTTTATTCTTTATATAGTATTAACCCATTAACGGCCGCTTAATACTCGTATACAAAGAGAAATTTGACAATTAATTTATTAGATTTGATTAAAAACACATAAATTAAAATTAATTTACAACCAAAAAGATTTTTTCTCATTTTCAAGGAAAACAGTACAATTTTTATTTAATAAAGGAACATATTGTATTTATTAAATTTTAAGGTGAAAATTTTCGAAACATTCGGGGTACACCTTTTACATAAATAAATAATATTACTTTTGCATATCCTACATTTTTGCACTATCGTCTCTTTTTGCAATGTGGCCAATATTGTCGAATCTGGTTTCATCTGGTAAAGCAAATTTAGATGTAGAGTCCATGTACTAAGTTTGACGCTGATGTAGCGGTTTCTTCATTATTATAAATTATAAATATAAATCTATGTCGGCTCATGCTTTCTCTTATAATGTGCACTTCTTTATCCCCATCCTTTGACCAATGCATATCAACTTGAAGCAGAGTGTAAACCAGATAATATACATATTATAATATTTTTTATTGTTATTCATTTCAAAATCGTGATTGCTATTCTGGGATGCATAAATATTTGTAAAATATAGAATGCTCTTAATTACTTTTTTATCAAAAAAGAGTGAAAAAACTTCAATATATGACTTGCCTCCATAGTTGGCTTTTATATTGTCTAAATATCAATCAGACTGATGTTGAATTACTACTGAGCACGAATGAGTATCTGTTATAACTTAGGACAATTTTGGATTTACTATTTTTGCCTGGTTTTTTCTTTGGACGTTTTATCTGTGGTTCAGAGGAATATCATAATCAGAATTGTCAGAATTCCCAATCACTTGTATTTCATATGTACCTGCAATATCCGATTTTATTGATTCTTTACAAATAATATCATCAATGTCTTCTACATCAGAAACTTTCTAATCTAATCTATAAGTGAGTCATCATTTTCACAATCTGAGTCTTCTAACAAAACTATCAACTCTTTAGTAGTTAGTGCCATCTTCATTTCATATTTCGAGAATTTACTGAAATAAACAAAGGCACTACTATATAAACGCATTCACATGATATAAGTTTGGCTTACTTCATTTTAATTTATATGAACTTCATAATATATTTTTATATTTATATAAACAAATAAACACAAGGAAACGTTCAAATTAAGTTAAAAAAAAGCAAATATAATGTTTGCAGCACACAGCAATTCTATAAATAGAGAATGGCGTGTAATGACGAGATCGTATGTTAAAATTTCAAATTGTTTTTAGTGTAATGAAAAAATAAGTATTTTCCAAAGTTTTCTGTTTTTTGAAGTTTAGTATTAGGTACTCTATAATAACAATAAAATTTTACTTTATTTTGTTAGACAACTATAAGGTACCTGTTAAAAGACACATGATAATTTTATAATCATATCGGCCTTAGATTTAATTTTTACGTAATTACTTATGTGTTTAAATAAATAATTAAATTTTTTTTTGGCACGCCTCTGCAAAATTGATAAGTGGAATATGATTTCGTTGAAAAGTTATCGTTAAGGTCTTCGTTAAGTGCGATGCTGCCAAGTAATCACCTTCAAGTAAAAATTGCTTTAGTATAGGTATCTAAAGTTTTTGAAATGGCTCTTTTATGTATCAACGAGCAGTTGGGTGAACAAGAACTAAATACTTTGTGCTTCATATATCAAATAACAACTTTTCATGAGTTTTCACTTTGTTTCTACTGGGTCTACGTAAGTACACCATTTTTTTTTTTTTTTTTTTTATAAGCTACATGTTTGCTAAAAATATTTTTTTCGATAAACTTTTTGAGTAATTTGTGAAAAACCGTCTGAAAAAGTGGTTTTTATTTCGAAAAATGGACATTTTCCCTCACAAATAACTCAAAAATTATTAAAGTGCAAAAGAACCCTCCACCCTTCCAGTAAAAGCAACCTTGGTCTCGAATCCAAATGTGAAGTAGATAATAAGAGGAATCTAAATCCAAATTTTCAAGCAAATCTGTCGTAACGAGGAAAATTACAGTTCAAAACGGTCATTTACAGGAGTAACGTATGGTCCTAAAGTTTTGGGAAAAATTTCACCTGGTCTGATTGAGAAGCAAAATGCATTTAACAAAGAAGGCCATGGAATTAAAATGTCATCAGTTATTGACATGTAATAAACAAAGCAGAATATTTTGGTTTGTGCTCTGCAAAATGTCTTATAAAATTGATATTCGTCGAGGTGTTTATAATATGGTTTTTATAGATTTTGAAAAACGAAAAATGGCTAAATGATTTGGCATTTTTGACTGACATCACAATGCACTAAAACACCGTTAACTTGGAGCTTCAAGGTAAAGGAAAAACTATTATTGGGATGATTAGCGCAGCAAACGCATTCAAAAGTAAATTGCAACTTATGGTAGATCAACTGAAAAGAAATGGTTGGGCGAATGTCGAAACGAGATATTGTTAATATTTATCGAGATCAAAACATAAGCAAATCGACAATTTATCGCACAACCAGAGAATGTGAAGAAGGGATACCATGTGTTAACTTGCGTAAAAGTGGCCGACCGCGGATTTTGAACCATATAAGAGAGGCAAGACCAGGGGTGCTCAAACGGTCGATCGCGATCGACTGGTATATATATTTTTTGACAATCATTCCTCTGAAGGGGAAGACCCGTGGCGAAGATATATATGACGTTTTCTTAAATTTTGTAAAAAACTACGAGCTACCAATATATAAATTAATGTGCATTACAACCGATGGAGCACCAGCAATGACTGGAAACAAAACCGGTTTTGTGGCATTGTGTCGAGCTAATGAAGAATTTCATTCATTTTTTTCATTCCATTGCATTATACATCAACAAGTTTTGTGTTCAAAAGTTTTAAACGCGGAGGAAATTATGGGCATTGCAAAAAAAATGTGAATTCCATCCGTGCACGTAGCTTGCAACGGCGGCTCTTTCAGTTGCAGTTGGAAGATAGGGAGTCAGCTGAACACACTGATTTAGTTCTTCACACGGACGTCAGGTGGTTGAGTCGCGGAAAATTCCTAGAAAGGTTTCAAGAATTATTGCCCGAAATAACAGCTTTTCTAGACGAAAGAGGTGATGACACTCAAATTTTGAAAAACGAAAAATGGCTAAATGATTTGGCATTTTTGACTGACATCACAATGCACTTAAACACCGTTAACTTGGAGCTTCAAGGTAAAGGAAAAACTATTATTGAGATGATTAGCGCAGTAAACGCATTCAAAAGTAAATTGCAACTTATGATAGATCAACTGAAAAGAAAGGATCTGAAACATTTTCCGTCTTTGAAAGCAAGGATTCCTCAGCTGAATTATGATACGTATGAAGCTGAATTATCAAATATTTTGGGACAATTCGACATGCGTTTTTATGATTGCAGTAAATTGGAAAATATAAGCATCATTTATGAGTTATCCTTTTTCATGTAAAAACATTGAGGAATTAGCTACTGAAATAGCAAGTCAGTTTAATATGAACTCATGTTCTGCTGAAAATGAGTTGGTGCAGATTATATCAGATATACATTTCAAAGCTACAGTATCTGATACAAATTTCTGGCGTTTTATATCTGAAGATAAATATCCGAATGTATAGATAAATATCCGAATATCCGAAATGAAGATAATTAAGTCAAAATATCGCAATCGACTAACTGACGATCATATGACATCATGCTTGCGATTAGCACTCAGTGGTTACGTACCATCTTATGAAAAGTATGCTGAGGACATGCAGTGCCACGCTTCAACATCCAAAGCCACTCCTTAGTTAAGTTTAACACCATATGTAACTCTTTTGTTTTGTAACAACAAATAAACTCGCAATTTTGAATAACTATGAGTTTTTTCATTGATATTGTAGAGAAGAACCTAACTAAACCTAACCCAAACCTTGACTAAAATAATGTACCTATATTGTGCAGAAAGCTAATATCTATATATGCTACGGTACGCCCTACCTAGGTAGGTAGGGTGTATCGTGTATGTACGACAACCCTGCATCACACACACACTTGCAGTCTCTCAGAGTCGATCGTAAGTAGTCTAAAAATATTGAGGTAGATCGCCAGCAGTTCAAGTTTGAGCATCCCTGGGCAAGACTGATTGAAGCAGCTAAACACAAAATATTTTTCATCGTCCATCACGATCAACTTGTTGACGAAATGCACTCGCTTTAACGCGCGGCAACATCTCGGAATTCTCTCTAATTGATCCTCTGTATTTTGGAACTTTCTTTCTTTTCCGGTAGATAATATTATTACTCGATAGGTATACTGTAGTCTTTCCAACATGAAATCTTCTGGCCAGTTTTCGCTGTGAGAGTTTGTTCTTAGCTACTTCAATCAGTCTTGCCTCTCTTATATGGTTCAAAATCCGCGGTCGGCCACTTTAACACATGGTACCCTTCTTCACATTCTCTGATTGTGCGATAAATTGTCGATTTGCTTATGTTTTGATCTCGATAAATATTAACAATATATCGTTTCGACATTCGCCCAACCATATTATAAACACCTCGACAAATATCAATTTTATAAGACATTTTGCAGAGCACAAACCAAAATATTCTGCTTTGTTTATTACATGTCAATAACTGATGACAATTCCATGGCCTTCTTTGTTAAATGCATTTTGCTTCTCAATCAGACCAGGTGAAATTTTTCCCAAAACTTTAGGACCATACGTTATTCGTTTCTGAAATAACTCAAGTATTGTACCAAACCTAGATTATTATTTTATTTACCTTTTTATTTTTTTCAGCTTTGTGTCAGATCCGGCAAAAATGGATTTATTTACCCAAGGACAATAGCGAAAGAACGAGGAGAGCTGACGACACTAATTTCGATTGCAGTTTGTCTTATTCTGTTTTTGGGTGAGTGATATTTTTCTCATAGCTAATATTTTTATTTATTATTCATATTAAAATTTCAAGCAATGATGTCATCATTGGAGTACTATCAAAGTTTACCTGTATAATCGTTATATTTTTTTAGTTAAGTAATTTATATTGTCTTATCTTTAAATTATCTCTATATTATTGTTTACTACAAAACACGTAATGAATGCCGTATATCAAAAAAATAATGAAACTTCCCAATAGTGAAGTTTACAAAACATTATCTCTCGTCTTCCAATCGGAGGTTGGATATCATCATCACTATCTTTACTTTGTCTACTGCTGCTCTAAAGAGTTCTATAGAACTGCATTTAAACCAGTCCCTTAAATTCTTCAACCATGACACTCTCCTTCTTCCTATACTCCTTCCTCATTACGTGTCCCAGATATTGCAACTTTCTTATTTTTATTGTGTTTATTATTTCGCATTCTTTGCCCATTTCCCGCAATACTTCTTAGTTTTCTTCTGTGTCCATGCTATTCTAAGTATCCTCCTGTAACACTACATTTCAAAGGGCTGTACCTTATTTATGTGTTCTTGCTTTAATGTCCAGCTTTCAAGCCTATATTGCAGTATCGAAAACACGTACAGCATCTCAGTGCTCTTACTCTTAGTTCTAATCTAAGGTCTTTGTTGCAAAGAATTGTTTTCGTTTTTTCAAACTCAATTCTTCCTATTTCTATCCTGGTTCTTATTTCACTTGTTTGATTATTATTGTCTGAAATCCAGGTTCCTAGGTATTCGTATTTATCAACTATCTATCTATCGGTATATTTCACAAATGTATGTCCGTTGGTATATTTGTTTTCTTTGTTATTATCATGTATTTGGTCTTTTTTATATTCATTTTTAGTCGATATTTTTCACAGAAACTGTTTGTTTTGTTTAGCAGTAATTGGAGTTGTTCAGCAGAGCTTGCCATAATCACGGTGTCATCTGCATACCTCACGTTGTTAATAGATCTTCTGTTAATTATTATTCCTTCACTTTGAGATAGTAATGCTTCTTCAAAAATGGCTTCACTATATACATTAAATAGTAATGGAGACATAATACATCCCTGCCTAACTCCTCTCCTGATTTCAATTTCTGGACTGGGTTCGTTATCTATTACGATTTGTGCTCTTTGATTCCAGTAGAGGTTTGTTATTATTCGTAAGTCCCTGTGGTCTATGTTTTTTGTCTTTAGAATTTCGACTAATTTTTCATGTCTTACTTTGTCAAAAGCAAATAACGCTTCTTTGGTTCCTAGTGCGTTTCTGAGTCCAAACTGACTATCATCTATTCCTTCTTCCAGTTTTTTATTTATGCGACCATGTATTATTTTCAGGAATAATTTAAGAATGTGACTTATTAGTGATATTGTTCTGTATTCAGTGCAATATTTAGCGCTTGTATTTTTAGGGATAGCACAAAAGGTGGAGAGTAACCATTGTTTCGGTATGTATCCTGTTTTGTATACCGAGTTAATAAGTTTACTATAATGTAAGGTTTCATCATTCATGCATTTTAAGATTTCTATAGGGATTTTGTCTGGACCTAATGCTTTACCAATTTTGCTGTTTTTTAATGTTATTTTAATTTCCTCTTTTAATATCTTTAAAACCATATCCTGTTCTACTTCTATCTCCATCTGTTCTGTTCTATTGTCTTTGAATAGTTCATTGATGTATTCTGTCCATCTCTTTAATTTGTCGTTAGTATTCAACACAAGTTTCCCATTTGCATCTTTCAGTATTTCCGATTTTCTTGTTCTATTTTTGTGAGTTAATTCTTTAATTTTTTTATATGTGTTAAAACTATCATGTCTTTTCTGGCATTCTTCTATTTCTGTGCATTGTTCTTTTAGCCATTGTTCTTTCGCTTTCTTAATTCTGTATTTTATTTGTTTATCCACTGTGTTGTACATCTGATTATCTTTGTTCTTATATTGACGTCTTTCTTCCAATAAATCTAAAATTTCTTCCGTCATCCATTTCACTTCTTTTATTATCTGGTTTGTATTAGAATTTCTTTTTGACTTTTATTTATTTCTGTCTTTATTAATAACCATTTTTTCTGCGTCTCAGTATTTTGCAGAATTTGTTCTTTAACATTCATTAATCCGTTGTTGATTTCATCTTCCAGGCGTTGCCTTTTGAGTGGGTTCCTTAATTTACTTGTATCAATTTTTACATTTGTTGTTCTTCGCTTTATTATTTTCGTTTTGAGCTTAATTTTGGTCACTAATGGGTTGTGATCTGATCCTATGTCGACACTTTGATAAGTTTTTGCGGATATAATTGCGTTCCTATATCTTTGTTTAACTAATACATAGTCTATTTGGTTTCTTACAATTCTCTCTTCTTAATCTGCTGGCGACTTCCAGGTATATAGTCTTCTCTTTGACATTTTGAACAATGTATTAAGTATGTATTATGTATAATGTATTAAATTCGATAAGTCTGTCACCCCTTTCGTTTCTGTTGCCCAGACCATATCCTCCTGTACATTCTTCTACTTTTTTTTCCCAACCTTTGCGTTAAAGACTCCCATTATAATTGTTAAATCTTGCGTTTTAATGGATTTTAAAATGTTCTCTAGGTTTTCGTAGAAAGTTTCAATATCGCTCGGAAATCGTTCTCCGAGTGAAATCGAGAACGATTTCTGAAGTGGAAATTGAAACGTCAATTAACTTACTTTAACCTTTAATTGTGGCTTATTCCTATTAAAATAATCATTTCTTTCCATTAAGTTCCTGGTCTAAATGCTGCTTGTACTTGTCTCAATTCAATTTCTATTTCTTGTCTTAGCCTCTTCTCTATTATTTTCATTTATATTTTAAAGCATACCGATAACAGAAATATTGCTTTATATGTAGTTTACAGTAGTTGGTATAGTCGCAGTATGTTCTGCCACTCTTTAGGGATTATTTGTTTTTCCATGTCTCTTCTTCGCTTTCATTTATTACATTGTCTTCCTTTATTACCTCGGTATCAATTTTTTTCTCGTAATATTCTTTTCGTATCCTGTTTTGTTTATCCACAAACCCCATCGAGTATGGTGCGGATAATATTCCTTAAATCGTTTAAACCAGATAAACATATTTTTTATTGGGATAAAGTCTGTCAAAACCAGTGCATACTAATTAAGTGTGGCTTTATGAAATTGGACATAAATTACTGCAGTGAATTATTTCTACCTACTTATTTTTTTTTATTTTAAAAAATTATTTTTTTTGTTCCAGTTGATTTGATGCAAAATGAAAATGACTTTCTAGTTTTTGTATGTAAGTTTTGGTTTACTTTTTATTTGTTTATCTTTAAGATTTGCCGCTACAATATTCGTGTGTATAGATAACTTAACAGGTTGACTGCGTTCCCAAAATATGTCAACCAAAGAACAGTGCGTTACCGGTCCTCCGGGACCGGTGGCTTGACGCGAACACGGTGCGTTACCGACCGTCGGGGACTGGTAGTGACCTAATTAGTTTTTACATTTTTACAGTTTTATAGTATAAATTATACTAGTTATAAGATCAGTTATTAACAGCAAAATCATTTTAAAACTTACCATTGTCATTCGTTTCCTGTTGAGAATATTTTAAAGTATCAAGACAGCTTACTATTTTTTACAGATTTAGATTAAAAGATCAAAACTTCTTAATATTTTATTAGTGTAAATGATATTTGAAAACAAAAAAACATGTAAACTAAATAATATTTATGTCCTTAGTTATTAAATTAAACAAAAAAAAAAACAAAATTGCAGGAAGATAAGAGATTTTTTCGTAGTTATTAAAAAAAAATCGTAACAAGTAACTCCTGCGTCAATCTTCTTCTAAATTCCATTATAGATAATTTTGTGAAACAACTAATCTTGTTATAAACAATCCAGGCATTTACAATAGATGTTCCAAGCAAAATTTCAAAGGCTAATTTAGGGTACCATTTTAAACTTTTTCTTAAAACGGAATGATAAGAACTCATCTGATCACTAAAGTCTACTCCTTTTTTTGCTTGATTGTAATCAATAATTGCCTTTGGTTTCAATACAAACTCACGTTGTCAGTTTCGCTTTCCTGTTGGTTCTAAAGGAGTTGTATGGGTTGGATCAGTTCTTAACATCATAACTGGCCGTTTGTCCATCCATTTTTATAATACGTAAGGAGTTGTTCTGTGTACCCCAAATTTCTCCCCTTTTCATTTTTTAGGTACCGTTTTGGGAATACCTCTTCTGTTGGACCTCAGGGTTCCACAATAAATTATTTGTTTTTTGAATAATGATTTGGCTAAAGGTAAACTCGAGTAGTAAATATCATCATACAAGTAGCGATAGTAGCCATTTTCGAATTCAACATGTTCAAGATCATACACTATCTGCTCACTCTGAGCAGTATTTGCATTGGTAGTCGTATTTTTACCACGATAAACGATTCTACTGTTAGTATAACCTCCCACTGTACATAACTTATATAATTTAATTCCATACGGGTGTGTTTTATTTGGCAGATATTGCTTTATTTGCAGTCTTTCTTGATAAAGTACTATACTTTTATCGACTACCAAAATCCGTCCTGGAGCTAATGCAGCTTGAACATTTTTATTCGGTACTTTTAAAACTTCCCCAAACTTATAGAGCCGATCATCTTTATTACACTGCTGATTATTATAAAAATGAATGCAACGCATCAGTAAAAGGAACCTGTCTCGTCTCATGGTAGTCGTAATAAACTCATTCCTGAACATGGGATCTTTCGACCAATATAAATTTATTGCGGGACCATTAACTAATCCCATAACTATACATATTGAAAAAAAAAACGTTTCAATTCGGCTATATCGCAGTCAACCCAGTAACGTATACGTGATTTTGATCGATGTATATTTAACAACATTTCCCGAGCAAATCTATTTGTTTCAGTGACAATAGTATGTAAAGGATCATCGGTTACAAATATTGTAAGCGTCTATAGGATTTTTTATTTCGTTAACGTTAAAATTTAATATAGGCATAGCTTGATATTGATTCAACTCACCAGTTTCATTGTCACTCTCACCTATATCATGCCACTCGTTTTCATTATCATTTTCAGATTCTGACATTTTTTCGTTATCAATTTCTGTCTCATTATCATCCTCGAATAAATCACTCTTTCTTACATCACTGTACGATTCATCTGAAGAAAGAACATAGTTCGAATCGTCCGAATCAAAAGGATCGTCCCGTTCATTTTCACTGTCACTATTTGGCAACTCTGCAAGCACATGGTATCTTAAATCAGTTGGACTTTGTCGCGAATTTACAGTACTTGGGTTATCTTCGGCATATTTTTTATTTTCAACTGAAGTACTCGGTTCGTTACATTCTACAGTTCTTGTTTGGTTTTTATCAGCTGTTTAAGCTAAAAACAAAATCTTTTTAACGCGAGATGACATTTTTAGACTAGTAAAACACGGATGTAAACACACCTGCTATTGAAATACAAAAGATACTAAATGTCGATTGACTACGCAAGCATGTAGATATATAAATATGCACCGGTCCCGCAGGACCGGTGTCGCACCCGAGTAACAAATTGTAATCTCTGTGCGTTACCGGTCCCCAAAGCCCGGTACATTTTTTCTTTTAGAAATGTTATTAGAATCTTAGAATATTAAGACAAGTATAATGCTGTTTTTAGCATTTAAAACAAATGAATATTAACGAAGATATGCCTTTCTCAATTTTTAAAAGTTTGAAGTTTTCACACGCCGCACTTTAATAATAACGAACACCAGTCCCAGGTGACCGGTAACGTAGTCAAACTGTTAAATTTCTAATACTTTTCGACAGTAAATTTTCTTTTTTTTTTGTATAAAAGTTTACTCTTTTTTCCAGTACAATATATTACAGGAGTTTTGCTAACCATATTATTACAACTGATGTACCGAGTTATTTTGATGTTTGAAGAAAGCCGCCATTTAATATCCCGTTACGATAGCAACGTATCGACTTTGTTAAAGGATGTTTTACATTTTCCAGTTCCTGTTTGGGTGACATTCGTTTTCAGTATTATATATCTTGTATATTACGCATCAACACAGCAATGGAGCGTTGGAAGTATCACACTGCTTAGAATTGTGTCCTTGTATGTAACCATGTTCCTGCTGGGAAAGATTTTGAAATTGGTAAGTCTAGCATTAGGTAATATTACTTAAATTGATTTTAATACTAACCGTTCTCTTCTAAGCGGTGTCATCCGCATATCGGATGTTATTTAGGCGTTCTCTATTTAGAAATATTCCATGTTTGCAATTTTTGAGGGCTTCACCAAACATTTTCTCTGAGTATAGATTATACAGTACGGTCGCGGTAGTCCAAACGAGTTCGCGCGACTCCCCCCTGCCTCTCCCTCGATTGAATCGACATGAATCAACATCGAATCAACGAACATCGGTTTTTACTCTCCTTGTCCACCTACATATTATTTAGTTCTGTTAGTGCTTTCGTATCACGACGGCTCTACGTAAACACGTGACTTTGACTATTGAACAAAAGACCAAAATTCTCAAGTTGATACGGCAAGGAACTAGCTGCAGTTTAATTTCAAAACAGTTCGGTATTGGTAAATCTACCATTACGCACATTAAGAAGAACAAAGATAAAATCGAAAAGTTCGCCGATGAAACAAAAAGCGATCCAGGGAAGAGGAAAACCATCAAACCCCCCGAATATCCGAAGGTAGAAAGTGCGTTGTTCATATGGTTCCTACAATAGCGGAGAAAGCATGTTCCAGTGAGTGGTGAAATTGGGTGTGAAAAGGCCCGTCATTTTTATCGTGAAATGTCACCAAATCACCAAACTTTTAGCGCATGTAAAGGTTGGTTGGTTGGCTTCCCTCAGGAAGCAGTATTACTGCGGGACAATTTCCCTAGTCATCCATCCGCTGATGAACGTTTTAGGTGAAGGTGGTAAGATTTTTGCCAGTTCTTACCACCACACGAGGACTACGATTTAACCAATTGACCCGAATGTCATCCAGAACAGAAAACTGCGTTATGGAAAAGCTTTACTTTTCAACATTCTTGCTGACGAGCTAAGTGGAACGTATCTGGTAGTAGCTTTGAAGAAAATGAATCTTAAGGACGTCTTTTTCAATTTGGAAAATTGTTTGTCATCCATTTCACAACGTTTGATTCAACTTTCTTGGAAAAACTTGAACTTGAACTTAGTGGCTGTTAACGACCCTTCATCCAACGAAAAAGACGTCATTTTAAGCCCCCTTGTCTATATTAATATATTAACTATAAATTTTTAGATCCCTGGCTTAATTTTCTCCTCTGTCCTCCTGTTCCTTTTTCTTCATCACCCCAGAAATCACACAGTGTACTTCTCTCCTCTCAACATTATGTTTACAATATTTCTTTCATCCAGCCCGAAACCCACACGACACCACACAGGGGCAGCGTAGGTTACTACCGACTGGAAAACTTTAGCATCTTTCTTTTGGTGCTTACTGGGCCTTCAATGTTTGGCATCAACCATATCAACGCTTCCAGATTTCGGTTTGCCTTCTCTACTGTCTTTTGGATGTGTACTCCGAAAATGCCACACATGGTTGGTTTATTTCAATAATTAAATTTTTAAAAAAACTTAACCCAAGAGATGATGCTCAAAGACTCTCAACTGCATGGAAACCAGCTCTACAGAAAAACGTAGAAATTAAATTGACGAAAAAGACCCTCATGAAAAGAAATCAATCTTTTAAAAGACGTGTTCTCACAGACGTATTGTTCTGAAGCTATTTTCTTGTGGCATTTTAAATTAATTACGACTTAAGTACTACTCAAAATACAAACAGTAAATTAAACAAATTTTGTTTTTTGTTATTTAGTGAAAAATTCTTCTAATAATTTAATTTTATCTGACTCATTTATATTGACAATTCAGACATACATTATGCATTTTAAAGTAGACGACTTTAAAATGATATTGCCAATATTGTTGATTTGCGCTCCTGGGACGACTTTACTTATAAGATAGTTCATTCGATTACATGAAATCAACTTTAACTTGAGAATATCCGTCAGAAAAAATCATAGCATGTGATTCGTCTTTAAAAAGACAAACACATGACATGATGACAGTAAAATTCTCCTGTTAGTGATTCCGTAGTAAATTATGAGGGAAAACCAGGAAAAAAAACCTCATAATACTATCCCGACATGGTAAGTATTGGGTCGTGCATTTAGTTTACCTTCAATAAACACCAAATTCTGATTTTATATGTTTCGTTATTTAAAAAACATAAATGATGTATCTTCTATATGTTACTGACTTACTAATACTGGTATTTTCTTATTAATAACTTCCTCTTTCAATACAGGTAACCAGATCCTACTACATTCTGCCGAGGAATTTGCGACACAATTGGTCTCATTTAGCATAATTAGAGCCGCTTCTTTGATTTTTCTTTATTTACCATCCGTTTCTTTTAGGACTACATTTGAATTATTCCATTGAACCCTATGTTCATTATCCCATGTGTGTTTATACATTTGAGATCTATCAAATTCTTTTTTTTTATATAAGATTGATGTTCACTTATTGTAATATATAATGGCCTTGATGTTTCACCTAAATAAAACTGATCACATTCACAAGTTATTTTATAAATGCAATTCTTTGTCCTTTCTTGTTTATTGTTAGGTTTGGTTTTGGACAAAATAGATCTCAACGTGTTTGTTGTTTTGAATGTTGTTGAAATGTTGAATTTATTTCCTATCCTTTTAAGTTTTTCTGATAATCCTTTTATGTACGGTATTGTTATTTTCCTCGTATTATTCCTTGTGTATGCTGTAGGATCTCGTTCTAAGTTGTTCTATTCGGTCGATTGTTGAAAACTCCTTATTTATAAACGATAAAGAATAATCATTTTTTAATAAAACAGATGTTAACAAATGTTTCTCTTCCAAGAACGAATTTTCGTTAGAACAGGTAATTTTGGCTCTATCGTATAAGGATTTAACCATTGCCTTTTTAATATTAATATTGTTTGAAATTTAATTATCTATTGGTGTGTGTTGGTTTTCTATACACCTGAGTCTCATATCCAGTATCGTTCTTAGAGATTAAAACATCCAAGAGATGGATTTAAATAGACAAAATAGACGTATTGGTAATTGAAGACAAGTGGTTCCCTGATTTGATAAAAAATATGAGTATAGCCAATTTTAACGTGGGAAACTTATAATAGAGGTACAATAAATATATGTATATATATATATATATATATATATATATATATATATATATATATATATATATATATATATATGCGAGGTTCCTACAGCCTCTGCCGCCTCTCGCATTTCGACCGCCATCGTTCTCTGTCCATCCATTCGTCTTCTTTGATGGCTCTATCTCTCATTATGTGTCGTACATTTTCTTCCCAGGCAACTGAAGGCCTTCCCCTTCTTCTTCTTTGTTGTGGTATGTAGTTTAAAGCTTTCTTTGGCCATCTATCTCTATCTTCATTCATTCGCTTCACGTGACCATACCACACTAGTTGTCTCGTTTCAATTCTGTCTACACTGGAATATACAGTATTTGTCCTCCTTCTAATATCTTCATTCCTGATATGATCTTTTTTGGATACAGCACACGCTCTCCTTAGAAAATCCATTTCTACTATCTTTTTTCGTGATCTGCAAAACTTCTGCCCCATAAGTCATAATAGACTCTACCAAAGTTCGATAGATTGTCAATTTCGTTTCTTATTTAATATCTTTAGACCATAGTAGAGAGTTTATAATGTTAACAGTTTTTCCGTACTGCGTTCTGTTTTCGATGTCTCTTTTGGTATTGCCTTCTTTAGATATTATAGATCCGAGATATTTATATTCATTGCATGTTTTTGTGTTTCTAATTTCTAACTCTGGATCTTCTTCATCATCTCCTATTTTAAGATACTCTGTCTTTGACATATTTCCCGTTTTTCATATTCTTTCTTTAGTTTTCTAAACATGTAGTCCATGTCTTCCTCATCATTCGCTACGACTACCTGATCATCTGTGAAAAATAAAGTTGTTAGATATTTACCATCGCCTATATCTATTCCCATTCGCGATACTTGCTTCCTCCGCTGCTCTAGCGATGATTGAATATATATTTTAAATAAGGTCGGAGATAGACAACATCCTTGTTTAAGCCCCTTTGTTATTGGAAATGATTCAGATATAAAGTTTCCTTCTTTAACGAGACGTCTTGCATTTTTGTATATATTCGCGATAGCATCCACATACTCTCTACTGATACCTACTTTCGTCAATGTTTGAAACAGTTTTTTCAAAGGTACCGTATCGTATGCCTTCTCTAAATCTACAAACAATAGAGTAGAGATACAATAAAATCAGTAAAATAAACAGTACATAAGATCATGGGTTAAAAATATCAAGAATTATGAAAAACTAAAATATTTAAGTAAACACAATACTTTTTCAAACACTGACTAAATTTGTAAGCCAATATATGGCAAATTAATTCAAAATCGATTATTTGATTTTGGTTTTTTATCATTATCGCCCTATTTTGTGAAGTGTTTATTGATTAATTATTGTTTAGATAAAACGCTTAAAATAATCGTCAGATTACAGTTTTATAATACCACCAATAAAAACCATCTAATACAGTTACTGCAATAAAATAATATCTTTTTATCACGTTGTATCATAAATTTTTAAATTTTAGTAAAAAAAAAACAAGCTCACGAGGAATACGTTTATCGGTGTCATTCGTAGAAGTATAAAGTTTTGTTGACCTTTGCTTGCATTTTTTGAATAGTGAGAGGAACAGATGTGCAGGTTATCTAAAAGTATAGATAATATTAAAATTAAGTCTAAAAAAGCGAAACTCATAATTTACAAATCACTACACACATAAAATAAAACATAAACTAGAAGCATCATTCTATCTCCTACTATTGCCCATAATGTAGGTTCGAAATAATTATATAACATTCATTGACGTGCTGGATAGCCAACTTTTTTGACGAAATGCCCCTGAACATGCTCTGAGTGCGAAAGTACTTGGGCAAGATTTAATAAAAAAACTGCTATCTGCCTTTTATTTGAGTAAATTTCATATATTCGAGCGTTAACCATATATTATTTTAGAATGAGTGAATGTT